ACCTTAGTAGGGGTAAGAGGTGGGACCATCATCATCATCATCACATTAACGCTAACAGGCTGGCGTAATGGCACGAAGCGAGATCCGGCCAGAACAGCGTGGGACCACGGTGAGAGCGGAGAAGGGCAGCAAGCGCTTCTGCAAGCATTCCTCTCGATAAATCTGCCCGTTTATGGTGCCGGTTGTTACGAACGGCTTGCTGTACCGTCCGCAGATCGCCTGCCACAACATGTACTTCTTCGCGAATTTGTCAATCTTTCTCTTCCGGAACTTTTCCGGAACCTCCATGCGGGACGTACCGACAAAAAACTCGAGGCCGGGGATTTGTTTGGTGTCCGCCTTGATGTATGTCTCGTCGTCCATGACGAGACAGCCTGGCTTGAACAGCCACTCACGGTACAGCTTCCGCGCACGCAATTTGGTCACCGTGTTTTGCTTGTCAGTCCGGTTTGGCGCCTTCCTGACCTTAAAAACACGTAGCCCAGCCCGATTCATGGTCTGCTGGACGAACCACTTCGACGAATTGACCTTTTTGGCCACGTCTCGGGTGGAAAGGTTCGGGTTATTCTTAAAGTACTGCCTTATCTTCAGCGCCTTCTCTGGGTATTCCGTTTTCGGTTTTCGGCCGCTTCCAGCGCGCCGCTCGATGGTCTTCGTCTCCTGGAACATCTTCACAATGCGGGACATGGTGGAATGGTGGATTCCAAGCCTTTTGCCGATCCATCTGTGCGACTGACCAGGATTATCGATCACCGCGCCCAAGATTTGCTGGCGTAGCTCTTCTTGTTTCGAATGCATCTTGAAAACTACTTGACAGATGCACACATATACATAACACTCTAAACTAGTATTTCCCAAAATTTCATTAATTTTTACCCACGCGATAAAAAGTTACACCCAAAACAAAGTGTCGCATTTTTTCCGAGTCCAGTCTTTAGGTCAAATACCATATGCTACGTGTACTCCATTTACGCGAATTCGATTTACGCGGTAATATTACTCGCGCTCTTCGGGGGTTTTTTTTTTTTTTTTTGTCTTTATTTTAGAGATTTTTAGCCTGAGGCTAGTTCATCTCTTAGGCGCTCTTCGGGGGGAGAAAGTACACAAATTTGGATTTGAAAAGCTGAACGCGAGAAATCTTAACCAGAGTGGTTTAGAAATTTTGTTCTGTAACATCCGAATCAAGAATCTAAACAACAATCGCCCAGACCCGTGTCGCTTCCGTTCAGCCTATAGAGCTGCAGTTGTTAATCAACTGTTAAAAAGTTCAAACAAATCGAATAGTGAGAATGATACAGGTGTAAACATTCTAAGCTTGATGTGCTGTTTACCCCTGCTGCGGTTCAAATCGAAAATGAAGACGTCCTTTTCCATTGGATTATGGTATTGAGACTATAGGAATGGCACAAATAAATTGTATAAATTATGCGGCTGGGTGGTCTACGAAAACAATAACTCACGATTGTCTGCAAAAACTCAAAGAGGACAAACAGTTGCCACAGGAACATTCTATATTGATCAATAACAAAAACAGTTCTCATGTTGCTGTTCGACAGTTGGAAAAACTGCTTGAGCGAATCGCAAATAATTTCAAACAGTTTTTTGGAGCATACTTAGCGTTGAGCGACATTGGAGTGAAGAAAAGAATGATTAAATTCATACTGAAGTCGTTCGACATAGAAGCAAAAACGCTGTTTGCGATAAATATGTGAACATGCTAATAAAAGGTCGATTGAAAGTTTTGAACCAAACTTTGATCAAAAAGCGAGGTTTGGGAAGGAAAAACAAAACCGACGCAGTCAGAGAAAGCAAGGGAACCGAACATCTATTTAGTGTAATTTATTGCAGATCTATCACATCATATTGTTCCGTTATCTACTATGAAGTTTACTTTTTTAATTAGAAAAGCTAACTTAGGAAGGACTTTCATAGCTGTTAATCATAATTTGCGTCGTACAGAATAGTAAATAAATTAACGTTTACAGGTGCTGACTAACGGCGAATATAAATGTGGGAAGTAGCTCTTGGATATGGATCAAACCGAGGGGGGCGACACATCTAAACCTCAATTCTAGATACCTAAAAAATCTCATACTAACGAATCAATCTTCGAAAAATCTTCTTTAATTTCTCGCATCTATTTGCATCGCGCATCATTTTTTTTGCAGGATATCTTCAAAATCGTCATCAAACACTATTTATCCTGCATCGTAGATAGAGTCGCCCCCCTCGGATCAAACATTGATTATACTCACAAACACATTTATAATCTGCACTTCAAGAATAAGGTAAGATTAATTCGTAAATTGAGTTCTAGAGAATTTAGAGTGACTTTAATAAATACATAGCAAAAGAAACCCGGCCCGAAGGACCGATGATTACGATTCCGATTCGGTTCCCACACTAAGATTGTCGAATATAATCGAAGATCCATCACACGCTTCCAACGCTACGCCATCATTATCACCCGCGCATGTGAACTCATCTCGCAGCTTATTGACAGTCTCTAACCGAGGTTTCTTCTGCTCATAATGATAGCTTTCCTTTTCGAAGCTGCTCTGGTAACAACAATAATGGAACTTATTAATAAGGATTTATTTTCCTTAAGAATTTCAACTGCATTGCCGCACTCAGAACATCGCTCTCTCCTGATTCAGAATCCACACATAGAAAAGCGCATTCGTCAAATTCATCCACTTCTTCATCAATCTGATCTGCATCTTCTAAATCATCAAGTCAATCGAGTAAATGTTCAGAAGCGGAAGAAAAATCATCTTCTTGTAGCTCATTTTCCAAGTGTATGCGTAGTTCAAAGCTTTTGAAACCCATTTGTTTGGTCTATAGCAATTAGTGACGTTTAACGTACGCATACTAGCGGGTTGATCGCTGGGCAAAGTTGTTTATCATTTTCCTCTGGCTAACCTAAAAACTGTATGAAATTAGATCAGTCAAAATGAGTTTGACAGCGATTTGTTTTGTATTTTCCTCGGATATTCACTAACACGCTCTCATTTGTCGTACCAATACAACTGGACGTGAAAATCACTTTTGATTTTTTTTTTCAGATCACGATCACATTTTTCATCTTCAAGTTCAGGGTGATCGTCTCGCAAGCACCAACGGATGTGACCTTCGAGTAGAGATCGGCATCCCTCAAGGGGGACGACTCTATCTACGTTGCAGGAAAGATTGTGTTTTGCTGTTGCTAACTGCGTGCACGCTGAATAGATAGAAAGAAGATTAATGACGATTCTGCAGATTTCCTGCAAAAAGGTGCGGGAACTGAAAGAAGAGTTTTCGAAGATTGATTCGCTAGTGTGTAATTTTTTGAGCATCTAGTATTGAGATTTAGATGTGTCGCCCCCCTCGGCATCCCTCTGAGTCTTCCACCCACTCATGCTCATGCAGCTCATACTCTAAGATTGTAGAACAATTTTGAAGGTTACTTTTTAAGTTCGAATATGATTAATATTTTAAATGTTGAAGGAATTTAAACATAGCCGTTGAAGTCGATTAGTTGCAAAGCCGGACCAATCCACCCGCGGTTAATACTTAGTTCGGAACGATAATCCATGACCATCACATTCCATTTGTTCGCCTTTTTCCCACGTGCTCGCACATTAGTATCATTTCTTATCACACATATTGTGGGAATTGAAGTCCGAGCCGTATACAGTATACTATTCTCATCAATTCAAATCGTTTAAAATTAGTCCAAAACAGTTCATCAAGGAACTATCCTAACTAAGATTCAAAAACTCCCACGTTCTTATTAGATGTTTAGGGAGAGATTAGACACACCAAAAAACCATCAGACTTTCAACCGCCTGCCTTCCTTTGGCAAGGTGACAAGCGGTGAGTGAAGTGAAATCAGCTGATTTCATATCCCGAGCGCATCACTTGGTTTTTGAATGTAGAACCGTCAGTTAAACGACCTACTGGTGTGTAACTATTCCCGCTCACAGCGAACGAAGTTGCTCCGGTCGACCCCGTTGCTCTAGTGATGGTTGCCCGATGCGAAGAGCAGGCGAGAATTTGACGTAAACAAGCAACCACGTGCTTTTGGTTTACTGTGGTAGTGTTATTATAACTTAGGGGGAAATGGTGTAAAATGCGCCACCAGGATATTTCGACACATGGATCAAATTTTGATTGCACTAACAGGCAGTATTTGGAGGTAAAGTTCTATTCGAATCTTTAAATTTAGTATGCTCACAAAAAAGTTATAAAAATAAAAAAAATATTTGAGTTCATTTCGGTGTTCAACGGTTTGTAATGCTGGGTTTAGACTAGGCAAGTCGAATGATCAACTCAGTTGAATTCAATTGACTTGAAAAGTTGAGCCTGGTTCAACTTTTTTTCAATTCAAGTGAGTTGATCAAGTCAGTTGAATGGCATGGTTCACACGTTCAATTCGCGTTCAAGTCAGTTGAATTCAACTGACTTGATCAATTTACTTGCCCTGTCTAAACCCAGCTTAAGAGTTTTCATAGGCAGAAATTAGAGCATTCCTAACATTTGATATATTAATCAACTTGCTGCAATACCAGCGTCGTGATCTGTGTAAAAAGAGAATGTTTTTCGATCAAAAATTAGAGTTTTAATGTATAAAGTTCTGAGTTTATGGTGGGACAATATGCGCCGGTGGTTTGGTAGCTCCTAGATACAGAAAGTGGGTTCTAAATGCAACCTAAATTTATACTTCCCGTAATAATAGCGTACGTTTAGCGCATTAATGTATGCAGCCTACAGAACATCTAGCAAAAAGCATAAATCTTACGAAAAATAAAACGCTATTTTCATATCAATCATTTTCTCGCTGATGAATGCACATTTTCACATGAAATTTTCGGTAACATCAAGAGGATTATTCAGACTATTGAATGCGCTGAAATAGAATGTTTATTTTTGATTAAAATGCAGTGAAAATCGATCATTTCCTAACGAGCACGTATTACCCCATACTCCCCTGCGCTTACTCCACTAATACGGATGCTTACCGCTCTACCGACGGCGAAGATTGTAGTAGTGACCAGTGCAATGTTCTTCTTGTCCCACAGGTCGGTTGTCTGGAACAGGTCCACATCGGTTACGCCATATTTGATGCATGCCTTTTGAAATCTGCAAAAAAAAAAACAAAACTAAATTTAGCATACTGCTACAACTTTTTTTCCGCAACAATTCTCGCGTCACTTTTCAAATAGACCAATGTAACATATCCACCATTTTGAGCAAATCGAAGTTGAAGTTCGACAGATTATTATTTTAACTGTTTAAAAACAATACATTTTGCATTACTATTTTTAATGTACTCAGTATATAATAACGTTGAAAATTCAGAAGAAACGATAAAATCACAATTTTACTTTGAATTTCATGCTACAACATAGAAAAAAATCGAATAGGACGTTTTGACAAGTCGAGTTGTACATCGGACATGTTACATTGGACGATTTTTCTCAATGACATAATCAATGAGTGTTACATTGGACGTTTTGTCTACATGATATTAGATTCCCTTTCACAGATTTCAGAGTATAGTACCTAACTTTAGATTGGCCCCGCCTTTGGAAAATGAGCACCAATCATGTTAGGCAGTCCGAATGACCGAAGTAACAATCATGTACCTATCATTTCAAACTGTACATTGGACAATTTTTTATCAATGATTATCTTAAATAAATGAAAGTAAATTTGGATGGATGTTTTTGTATCACATACAATGACAGAAGAGCAATAGTTTGTATCGCTTAACTCGATTTGTTTACATTTGTTACATTGGTCTATTTGAAAAGTGACGCGAGAATTGCAAACGACGATGATGGGCGCGAAACAAACATGGCGGACGACGATCAGGGTCGCCATCTGTGTTGCCATGGTTGCCACGGGCTCGCGTGTTGCGGAGTATGTCGTCGCGCGGCCATTATACACTTTTTTCAATATTCTAAAGCGCACATCAAAATCACGAGACATCATAAGTAGGCATCAATGAGAGCAATCGATAATCCGCGTCACAGGGCACCAGAAGCGACAGAAGTTGCGACGCGACGCTTCGTGAGCCGCCAAGCGAGAGAATGCTCCTGGTGCGGCTGTTGTCGTGGTAGCTTTACCTCCTATTTTCAGCTACCAGGCGGCACTGGTAGAAAGAGTAAAAACAAAATCCTCCTTGGTCAGTGGGATTCATTGAATGATTGAAAATGTAACAGTTGAGAAAAGAAATCACGTGGTTGCTGCGTCGGCATGTGTCAGAATTTTCTGCCGACTGATTCTTGTTAGAATTACATGATTCAGTCAATGTGACATGATTGAAGCAAATCGAACTAAATAAGGTAATCGTAATTTATATTTTACTCAAGGTTATACTGCACAAACCATCGTCACTTGCAAACGTGGCAAAGCTGGGTAAGATTTTGTTGCGAACTTGCATGTTCGCCGCCTCTCTACGTGCGCCTTACAACAAAACACGCCATTTTGTAGCACTGGGTTTAGTGCACGTTACAGATGCGGTTAAAACTTAAACTAGGTTTAGCAACTATTGCTTCATCGCTAACAAATCGCACAAACATGTCTTTGGATAAATAAGTCTTTCACAAGTGCTTAAAAACGTAAAAATCAAACATAGTTTCCATAAGTTTGATCATTTTAAATAAATTTCCCTTTCAAAGTGCAAACAAATTCGCAACATTTCGCACTGCTGGCTGCTACAACGGACATCGTAGCACCCGGTTTCTGGCAGTGGCACTGCATTCAAAGCAACCCGGCTCCGTTACCAACTGGAGGACAAACCGACTGGGAACAACACGTGCTCACATTCCCTGTCTTGCCGGGTATATTTAGTGGGGGTGGCCGCCAAATGCGCGCCCTATTTTCCCGGCCACCTCTTGCCGGTCATGATTTCCCGGCAAAAACTTTTACAAGTACACTAAGAATGTTCGAAATTATTTTATGGTTCTTAACTAAAACTAACATAATTTGTGTGCCGTGCCCTGTGTGTCGTTGTAGTCACGCGCCCGTTGAATCCGGCCGGGTTCTCAGTACAAAAAGTCAAACGGGAGAGCAGCACTTGTGTTCCGAGGTTTGTATGGATCGTCTTCGTCATACAAAAAGCGCGCCAACGGGCAACCGCCACAAAACGGTTTTAATACCCCCGGTGGTCAAAATATGTCTGTCCCGTCGGGTTTGTTTCGTGTCCGCTTGGAAACTGCCTTGTGGTGCTTTTTGGCTTGATTCATTTTGTTTTTGGTGCACCGCTCTCCGTACGAAGTGAATGGGAGCGCAGGATTTTGTGGAGATGAGCTTGAGTTGAATCCAATTTGAACTCAACTATGGGTAGCGGTTTGAGCAGGGCTGCCAGATTGGATGGTTTTTGACATACATTTTGTGGAACATGCTACTGGGGTGCAAATTAATGGTAATGAGCTTGGGGTTATGACTTGGATGCTAATCGATGGATTTCAATTGTAGTGATAGGTGGTATCACATTTTCCGGAATGACATTTTCTGAAATATAAAGCTTCTCGATATCACATTTCCAGGAATAGTTTAAAATACAGTGAGATCACTAATTGAACATGCCTTTTGAGGTTGTACGAACTGTTGACGTAGGACTACGCTGCTAAATGTAAGCTATTTTGAGTATGGTAAAGTGATTCCTAGGATTGTTCATGCAACTTGAGAAGCAATATAATCAACATTAACCCCCATGGTACGATGATGGAGTAGATCGAGCGGATGGCTTGCAGCGCATTGAGCGTTACCGTCCCTTTCTGGAAGTGCACCAGGAAAAGACAATCCGGGTACGTCTTCACGTTTTCGTCTCTCCTCGTCATCCGGTAGACAGCGATTGGGGCCAGCTTGTACCGGTTCTCGATTTCGGCTTCGATCATCTTGGGGTCGAAGTTTGGTAGGCCTCTGATGGCTACCTTGAAGGGCTTCTCACCGGGGATGAAATGCGTGAAGTAGTTCACAGCCACCTCATACTCCGCTTTCGTACGGAGCATAACCTTGGTGCCGATCCTGCTGAGCTTAAACTCAGCTGCGACACCCAGCGATGTGAAATCGCCAATGAGCGTGTTGAGTGGCTTTTTCTTCACTACCAGCGGAGGAAGCTTCACTTTGCCGCACTCATGCCGAAATAATCGATGTCGTTGGCGTTCGTCGCGGCTACTTGCACTATCGGACTGGCCCTGATTTTTCTTGCTCTTCTTCGTCCGCTTCACCGTGTCGGAGGTGGTATCAACCGGTGGAAACTAACGACTTTAAATTGGCTCACACTGGACTAGCCTATCGGTACCAATGCATCGATGAACGTATCCCATTATAGTCGAAATTCTAGTTTTAAACTAGGGTATACGTCCCTAACCTCGGTCTAATATGCAGCCATCGATTACGTTTTTAATCATAACTCATCAATGAATTTACCTGCAAACGATATTCTACTGCTAAATGGTATGCTTAGATATGCTTATCATGTCGTTTGCTATCAGAAACCACGAAAAGTTGAAAAACTTACTTTTTTTAAGACAATAACTCACGAGGGAAATGTATGTAATATGGGTCTATTGTCCCCAAATTGGGTCTATTTATGGATGCAACTTCGTCCTATCTTGTTTGATCCTCAAAAAAACGCTCTTGGTAACGTTTTCTGATGTATTTTTTTTTATCACTATCACTGTTAACTTAATGCTCTTCATTCCTCAAAACATTTCTTAGAGAAAATTTTACGAAAACTACATTAAATCACTCAATTTAAAAATTAAAAATTAAAAATTTCGCTTATCGTCTTTTGACCGCAGAATATCTAAATCAGAACATTGTGATGTTCATTATACAGGTTTGGCAGAAAAAATCTCCCTTCCTGTTCGTTCCTTATCATCCAAATGCAAAACAACATTGTTGACGTTACTCTTATTGCTATATGCTGTCAAATGAATTTCATGGGCCATAGTTAGGAACATAGAAAAGAAATGTGTCCCTAAAGTTGGGTCCATGTTTTACTTGTGAAAACGTTGTTAAACAATTAAAATAAACATAAAATATTCAAACAGCAACTGTAAGTTTTACGTCTAGTGTGTATTATCAGGTAATTCCAATCAATAAATGCCATAATCAGGCCATTTGATGATCGTCAGTCAACCTTCCCATCTTAACCTTATAAGTCATGGCGGCTAAAAACTCCGAACATTGTGATATTCTCAACCAGTTTTATTACTTACGAGAGCTGAAAATGTATTGAAATGTTGTGATATAAATTGATTTGTGTGTGGTACACATTTATCAACCATCAGTGATCAATATTTTCCTTATTTTTTGTGTAATATTCCTTAATTAATTATTTATTTGCGTGATAGGCCGAATGAAAGGACTAGACCCACATTACATACCGTAACCCTATGTTTTGATTAGCTATAAAAGTTTGACAAGATGAAGTGAGGGGCTTGTGGATTATCTTTTGTTTCAAGGGGTGCATCAATTAACTTGGGACCGAAGAGAGTACCAGAGCTGAGCCAAAAAGTTGAGCACGTTTCTTCGGGACCTTCTGGTCTTAGAGTTATAGAAGTAACTGGTGTGGTATTCTCAACATCGGTGAGAAGAGTAGCGTACCGATTCGAAATAGGTACCGAGCATCCCTCACCACTGTTCGTCTTATCCACTTTCTCTCGGAGTCATGCTTGGCATACAAAGTTTTGGTCAGTAGTAAACTGTATTTGTTTTTGCGTTGTAAAAATGAGGTGAGAAATGCTCACTACACATCTCGGAATTTAAGTGTTAAATTGATTAGTGTTGATTCAAATGTCAAGCTTTACCTAATCTTCGCTTATCTATAGTAAACTATGTGCCTAATATATCAATTACTTTAAAGAAAAATAAATTTCAACATCTGAGTGAAAAGTTATGACCAAAAGAGCAGTCGGTGTGTACAACTGTGCAGCCAAGCATGCTCGGAGTCTGGTCCGGGAGCACTGTATTCCCATCACACGAAGTTTCATTTGACCTTATTTTTGAACGCGATCGACTACTTTGATCAAACTTGCACCAGTTGTTCTCTATATAAGTTTAAACAAACCACTGTCAAAGATTTTCGATTCCCATTCTAGAGGCATGCTAGCGGCGCGCGAGGG